TGCAACATAAAGCCCTGCACCTTTATGGAAACAGAACAACCATGACTAGAAGTAGAGAGAACTCAGAAATGTCTAATAAACAGTATGACAAGGCTTGAATGCCACAAATCATGAAGAAAGAAACAGTTAAAATCGAATTTTTTGATTGTTTACTTTGCAAAAATGGGGATAAAACAAACAAACCATGGATTTAACATCTAACACATCTTCCCAACTACCCACTGTTGTTTTGAATACGAGAAAACACGGGGGCTTTATACACAACAGATATTTTACTGTTTACATTTCTAATTTGTTGCGATGTGTTAACACTGCCTGCAGTTCAGCTGAATATTCCCAGAATTTTTGATATGTGACTGTCGGTTGTAGGTAAGTCATTCATAGCTTTTTAGTTGCAGTGATAAACCCAGAATTTTTTGAGTTTTACAGAATCTGTTTCGTGTAAACATATTTTTAGCTTTTTTTTTTTTTTTTAAAAAACAAGACATGTAAAATGAAGTAATTTTGAAAATATATCAGAATCATACTGGCTTAGATTTGGTTAATTTTGCTGAAGGAACCACACATCACAGATGAGCAGTTCAAAGACTCTTGGAAAGTTTAAAATCTCAAATGATTTTTCTGTTTTTACCATTGGTGATAATAGATGTTGTAATTTGGGTGTTTTTTCACATAACATGCCTCTTGAACCAGCATCGCTTTGGCACAGCACTTCAAATATGATTAGTTTTGGGGTTTTTTTTAATGGAAAATGTGATGATTGTCTCAGTTTTTACAGTTTCTGGCTCTGATAAAAGCCAGCCATCGGGTTTTGGGGGTTCAGAGGGTTCAGCAACAGTTTAATCCCTGTTTGGTTGCTTGTTGTGCTTCAGTGTGGCTGCCGCCCAATGTTTCCGTCTCTATTGTATCTGTAACACCCTTCTTCTTCTTTTTCTTCTGTCACTGTGTTCTTGTCAAAGTTCCACTCCACCTCGTTTTGATTTCCTTTCTTTTAAACACTCCTTCTTCGTATTTTGGCTCGTGTGTCTCTAAATCTTTTGACGTAGATCTCCGGGCAGCTCTGATCCCCGCCCGAGGCCGACAGGATCAGAGGGGAGACGAGAGAGAAGCAGGACTGAAAATTTAATAGACTGGAGGGAATCGAGTTTTCTTCTTCTTCTTTTTTTTTTTTTAAATAACTGTCTCCCACATATCCGTAATCTTATCAAAACATTTATTCTACCCGGGCCGATACCTCGCCGTGGGTTTTGGTTTCATAGCTCTCGTCACTCCCGGAAAACTTGTGTGTGTGTTTCCCTCCAATAAAAATGAATTATTTGCTTTCGTTGGAGGGAAGAGAAAGTGAGGCCTCGCCAGGTACAGGTAGCACCTGAAGCTCTTTATCTTAATATAAAGCGAGTTATGTAATTGTGGGATTTCCACACCAAGCACAACAACTTGTGGCAGATACGGTGACGCCTGGAGACAAGTCCCTAGAAAATAAACAAGCCGGTTTCCGTTTGCCGGAAGGTTTGTGAGGCTGTCAGGTCTTCCCCCGACTTCCTTTAATCCACTTTCATATCTGTCGAGTTTTCCATCTTCTCAAACACTTTCTCTGAGAGATGTGTTGTTGGGGTTTTTTTCTATCCATCTCTGCCTTGCTGTCATTTGCAGAAACCCCGGTTACCCCAGTCCTCGTTGCCTGTTTGGGCTGTGGGAGGATTAAGTCTCACATTGAGAGTCACCTGGGGCTTCTGCAGGCAACAACGCTGTCACAGGATCGTGCAGGGGAGCCTTACATGTTTGTATACACGTACAGTATGCATATACATGCATCTATGCCTGGGTGCGATGGGAGATCCCAACCATCTGACTGTTTAGTTGGCTGCGGCATCAAAGAGGAGGTGTATTTGTGGGTTGTGAATTTCTAAATTTGTGTTTCTGCCTCGCGACACGATCGGTTATGTGTTACAGGAATGTATCATGAGGAAATCCCAAGTATGAGCAGAGGAAGTCTGCTGGCGATGAGGGACACTTTGACAGTCACTCCTGGTGTTGTGTACAAGTGAGAACCTGAGGATCCTGTTGCTGGTAGTCTGAGAACCATGAATCACTGGCTGGTTTTGGAGCTGCTGGGACTGTATTTACATTTCCACCATTCCATAGAAAAAGTCAATCTATACAGTATTTAACAAGTCAGGCCACAAACTTGTCCAGGTTTGTAGTTTTCACTTTGTTTTTCTGGAGAAACTCTTGTGTGATTTTGTTCTCTGGATGGTTCTCCTGCTGGAATATTCCTCTTCTTCCCTCTTCTGCAGACTGGGAGTCATCTCATCAGCCAGTGTTCTGGTTTATCCTCAGACATTCATCTATAAATGTCATCAACACCTTTCACACTCATGCAGCCCCATATCATGATACTGCCACCTCCGTGCTTCACTGTCAGGACGATGCATCCACTGTGGTGGTCCTGGTCAGGTTCACACCAAACATCTGGACTCCATCTGAGCCCAACACATTTATCTTCATCTGACCAAAGAATGTTCTCCAACATTCATCAGGCTTCTTATCTTGTCCTTTAGCAAAGTTTTATCTTTGATTTTTGGGCCAAACAGCGAGCAAGGTTTCTTTTCTTGTCCTCCATCCATAGAGGTTGATGTTCTGACGTGTCTTTACACTGTCTTAACTTCACAGAAACTGATTTCCATTGATAACCCCTGTACCAAGTCTGAAGCAACAGCTCCATAGTGAAAGTAGTTGACTGTCTGTGGAGTCATTTTAGGAGGACGACCACTGCAGCCCTGATCAGTGCTGCTATGGCTCCTTCTAGACCTCCTGATTACTGCTCACACTGTTGCTCACTGATCTCATGGATCCTTTTCCATCCGTGTGAAGTCTCACGGTCAGATTTTTCCATTCAGTTCTTTGTCATGTGGATCCATGATGCTGACATGGACACAGCCCATAGGTCCAGAACTGAGAAAGTTCTGGTGTTCACAGCTCATTTTATAACCACTGTCATCCAGTTAGACTGACTGGAAATCACAGATTGACTCAGTTGAATTCACTTTTGTTGCATTGAGTTTCTACTTTGGGGCTTGAATTTTCAATATAGTCTTTCCAGAATATTTGTTTTTCAGTGTTCATAAGAGGAAATACTCTCCTGTTCAGCCCAGACATAGAGCAGTTATGGAGGGGTGATACACTTTTGAGTCATTTGACATTTATGTGATATTGCACAGGTGTACACTCACGTCTGTCTCATACTGCAGGTTTAGAGGAATGTCAGTAGAATTAAGAGAAGTAGTTGAGATTTTACAGGAACATCCAGTTTCACAGAAGGATTATTTACCAAAAACTGGATTTTTTTTTTACAACAGTGTCCGAAGTCGTTAAATTGACCTCTTTTTGCATTTCTGTCATGCATTATTTCACTTCTTCTGTTGTCCCTCATTTCTGGGGAGACGTTACAGGACGGAAAAGCCCCCTGAGCTGCGATTAGCCCCCTGCCTACAGCATCTACAGCCGCTGAGTATATGATCCCCTCCGAGTGCCAGGACGTGCGAGTGCTTGCCCGGCCAAGCCCAGGAACAGTCAGACACTCAGCCTGCCTGCACACAAACAGACACACACTCCCTCCCTGCAGCTCTGGAGCTCTGAACCAGCTCACCCAGGCACGGCTCCATCTCTGCCTTAGGGAAGCCCTCTCCTGCTGAGGCCACAATCCCGCTGACACTCCACGGCCTGGACTTTATCCACTCCATCTGTGAGCCTGTTTTTTTCTAACGTTACCTGTCTGGGGACGCGGCTACAGCGGAGACCACGAGATTAGACCGACTGATAAGACAGTAATAATTCTTTACTATCTGACAAAGTGTAATCAGCGTGCCTGGACGACAACAACAACCTGCCCGAGTGCACACACACACACCCCTCTCAGAGGAGGCTTCCCTAATGATTGCAGTGGTGGGACCAACCAGAGCCAAAGTCTCTTACATACACAATATAAAAATGAGCAACACATTTACTACTTCAAGAAAAAGTGCAAAACAACAAGCAGCTCTACTAAGATGCATGATAGCAACTCAACAGCTAAATGCAATACAGTGAATTGCAACACGCAGTACGTCAGAGCAGCAGGGTTACAACATAAAAACAGATTAACAGCAACAACATAACACGATATAATTCACTAAATGACATCGATTTAACCAAATAATCTTGTGATCTTGAACTACTTCTACTTTACTCAAGTGTTTGCTTCTATTTTACATCTCTAAACTGCATTATAAAGGGAATTATTTTCTTTTTTTGTTGTCCAAAAACGTATGAAGTAGCAAACAAATAACAGACAACAGATCTCAACATACAATTTTTTACACTTTATTAGCTCAATTTCACCAAATAATCTTGAAGAACTTGTGCTTTTACTTGAGTGCCTGCTGCTACTTTACAGCTCTAAAGTGCTCTATGAAGAAAACCGTTTTGTTGTTGTCCAGAAGTATAGAGTATGAAATAGTAAACAAATAAAAGCTTGAAATGCTGTTGACATGATGAGACAGAGATTATTAGGATCCATTATGACTGCATTGTACAACACAAACACTTTTGGTACATTAGGCTCATTTTGTTGCAATTATTTCTCAGTTTTTAATATCTGAGATATATATAGAGTGTGTGTTTTTCTGATTACAGCACTGCTCACGCAACACTACATTCCTTCAGAGGGTTTATTTATTGTTGTTCGTCGGCTGCTGACTCAATAAGTCTCTCTTAAATCCTGTCGCGTTCCAGTTCGACTCGTCTTTGTTTATTTCGCCTCTACAATCTCACTGCAGCTCCAGTTGAGCTGTTTTTGTCTTCTCTCGTGTTCCTGTGTAAAGTGCGAGCAGCTGGACCGGCGGCTGCGTTGGGCGGCGCATTCAGATTTACGCACAGCCATTGGTCGGCCTCGGCGGGCGGGCGGAGCTACGAGGAGACAAAACAGCAGAGTTGCGCTCATGTGAACCAGTCAGGAGCTTCGATAGTGTTTAGTGAGGTGTGCCTCTTTTGATACGCTTCGGTTACTACAGCAGGCGCGTAAAATCCACGTTTGGCTTTTCGTGCGCCTTTTTACGCGCAGAAGATCTTCAGTCAGAGCGAAGTTTTCTTGATCGTCGCCGACCAGTTTGACTTGTTGAGGTTCCTGCGGAGAGGAGCAGCTATGGATTTGGTGTATCTTGTGTGCTTGGCGCTGACCGCCGGTACTTGGTTTGCCTCCGCGGAGAGACACAGCGTCTATTGGAACGGCTCGAACCCAAAGTAAGTGCTGATCTCTGGTGTTTTGTTCTGTGCGGCTGTGTGATGTGTTTGTGTGGGATCGATCATGCGGCTGCTCTGTCTGTGTGACTGTGCGTCTCCAGTGGATGAAACTTTGTACAGTTCCTGACGCGTAAAGTGTCATCCTGTAGTTGTTCCTCCTGGTGGCTGCGCCTGGTTTCCTTCCGTATGGAAAGCTAAATGTGTGTCAGGCTGGTGTCCCTTTAAACTCGCCCAACATAGACTATTGCACCATACGGCAGCAGCTGGAAGCAAAAACAGAAGATTGTGCGCGGATGCCGAGACAGATGGACAGATTCACCACTATATTTAACCGCAACACACAGACTCAGACATACTCTAATAGTAAAAAATAGACCGACGAGTATGAACTTGGCCGGTGCTGTCTGCAGCCTCTGCACCTGTGTGTGTGTGTGTCATGGAAACAAGAGTGTATTAACTAATGAGACTGAATCACTTACACAGATAACCGCATCAAGACTGTGTTAAAGTGGTTTTTCATTGGAGGTGGGGGGAGAGATAGTGAGTCACACACAGGAGGAGAAAAGCGCTGATTATTTTGTTCTGAGGTCAGAAATGTAATGCAATCCGACCACTCAGTGGGATCGATGCGGCTTGACATATCGCAGCGCGATTTATTGAGCTTTTAGCGCGGAGCGAGTGATCCCGACGCATGAAAGACGGTATTATTGTGGCTGAAACAGAAGGACGGTCCCCGCTGCTCCGCTGCTGCTGCAGCCCAGATAGGTCGATTAAAACCGGCCACCGAGAAGAAGCAGAGGGCAGAAGCCATTATGGCCTTTTAGCCTCTTCTTGATTACATTACTGGCTCTCTAATTGCCCTTTAACAATGACAATAGACGCTAAAAATAAGAGCTGCAACATGGAAAACAATTGTCCTGATAATTGGATGAGGAGAAGTCTAATGGAAAAGTCCTGTCGTCATGTGGTTTGTGTCATGTGTGAGTCAGTGGCCCGGGTTTGACCCACCTGGGTTTTACACCTGAGTCACCACAGACAGAGGAGGGGAGGGAACCTGGCTCAGGTGACTGAACCAGAGGGGTCAGCTCAGCATGAAGGAAGGAAACTGGAGCTCCAAGATCAGAGAAAAAGGAATCAGCCAGAAAGAGATAATGAGGTGGTCTAGTAGCCACACAGTCACATCTTGTGTCTGCTGCCTCTAATCCTGAGTATTTCTGAATATGCCGAATGAAAGTTGCATAACCAGAGGAAAAAAATCTGAATATAGCACTAATCCCTGCTGGCTGAACACAGACGGTGACAGAAACTTCACACATCATCAAGCAGGCAAATTCACTTATTTTACTGCTCCTTTTATATTAAAATGCACTTCCAGAGCCAAAGAGTAAAACCAGGAGGATAATGGCAGCCCAAAGTGGAACCATATTTGGCTGACCTCCACGGGCCACTTGATTATGTATTTTTCTTTTTTTTTACCCCATATTTTAAATCTCTGTTACGCCTCAGTAATCCCCCTGCAGCTCAGTCCCTCCTCTCACTGTCTCCTCCATCCATCTCCCCGTAGAAGCCCCACCTGGCCAGAAACATCCCCGGTGATCAATCAGTCACCTGTTCGCAGGATTACACAGATCCATCAGTGACCTTTGGCGGCGGCAGGCCGTGCATAATTGATGCTAATTGATTCTGGGTCTGATTGTGAGCAGCAGTGATTCGTCTTGGGCGGCGGACAGTGACCAGATGGCAGCAGTGTGCCCATTCATATTCAGCAGCGTGGAGATGTGGAGCACCGGCAGCAGCTTTATGTGTGTTTTTTGTCAGTGCCACTTAATGATTATGTCTCAATCCGGAGCTCCTGCAGGGGTTAGATACTGTGTGTTTTCCTTCTGCGGGCAGGTGGAGAGGCGTGTTTTCCTCGGTCCGGTCTTGTTTTCGCGCTTACGTGCCTGAGCCTGCGTGGACTTTATTAGGGTGAACTTACTTTCAGCAGGAAGCAGTTTTATTTTAGTTTGCGGACTGACGGAGTGCGATAGTTCTGTGAGGGGAACAGGGAGTGGCGGGTTACCGTAGGCAGCCTCGCCGAGACATGATAAATGTGTGACTCACACTTCCACACACTGGGGGGCAAAGAGGGAGGACTGGGATGTTAATATTAGCTACAGCCAGCATTCCAGCCTGCTGTTACTATACTCAACTCTGTCAGCTGTGTGGCTCAGTGAGCGCCTGTGGTTGCGTTGGCCTGTGTACCTGTCGGTTCCTCTCTCCGTCGCTACACTCCCACTCGTCTCTTTAACAGCTGGATCTCCTCCCAAGCTGGCCGCCCTCTCCCAGCCCTCCATCCTTTACTTCACCTCTGCTCGCTGGCTCCAGTGCATCCAAGATATCTCCATTTTCTGCACTGAAAGTCAAATTAATCTGCAACTTTTTTGATAGTCGATTAACCATCTGAGCCCCAGTTAGTTTCTTGGGAGTTTTATTTGTCACATTTTTCAACACTGTGGTTCGTATTTCACTGCACCTGCTTTGATTATTTATTTTAATTGGCAAACCACTTTAACACAGTCTAATGTTTAACCATTTACAGCTCCTACAGATGCAGCATTGTTCTTGTGCATCAGCTGTCGAAAGGCTGTATCTTTTATTGCACAGCCTGCAGTTCAGCCAAAAACTCCCTGAATTTTTGTCATGAGGCCGTCACTCACAGCTGAGTCACTCATGGTTCAACAGTTGCAGCAAAGCACACAGAATTTTCTCATTTTTACAGAATCCAGTTACAGCAAACGGTTTATTTTTGGCAAATTTCTGAAATGAGACCTCAAGAATAAAGCAATTTTTGAAGAAATATTGTAATTTTAAGTATGGATTTGGTTAATTTTGATAATTCAACTGCACATTGCAAACGAGTAGTTCAAGCACTGTTGGAAAGTTTAAAAATTCTACATTTTTTCTGTTTTTACAGTTACTGATTTTGATAAAAGCTGTAATTTGGGTGATTTTTTTCCCCTAAAGTTTTTGGTTTCAGAGAGCTCATCGATTTGACTTTCTTAAGCTAAAGCACATCATCTTGGACTTTTTCAAACATTTTTCACAATTTTCTGACATTTTATAGCCCAAACAACTAATTGATTAGTCCAGAAATAATCAACAGCCAGAATAATTATTATTTGGCACAGGTTTGGATGCTTTTAAAACAGTAAATCCTGCATTTCTGTTATTTAAATCTAAATAAAATGTATTATTTAGCTGCGCTCATCCGCCTCCCCTGGCCCGAGTTTCCATCCCATGCTTTGAGTATCTGTGCAAATATGTTCATTGGGACTTTGCTGTAATGTAATATTGTGTTTATCTCGGCTTGCGTCTGGTTCTGGCCGCCTTCTCGGGCCTGTCCGTACATGCAAGCGTCGCCTGGAGGATGAGTTTGAGTTGAAGGTGGTCGGTGTCACTCCCCTCCCTCCTAAATTTTTTGTTTTATACATTTTGTTCCTGCTCTCTCTGTCCCTTTTTTTTTTTTTTTTGTCGTTGTTGTCGTTACTCATTATTTACCCCTCCCCAGCCCGTGTCCCGTCTGGTTCCTCTAATCTGGGCAGAATGAGAACACACACACACTAACATAGATTACAGACGGCTCGTAATCTGACCATCTGACCCATAGACACAAAACCATCATCCCGCTGCCTTCCTGCTATATTTGTATTTATAAATACACTACATACATGCCTGTGTGATCCTGTGATGTAACTTCTGTCTGTGTGTTGTGTGACCGCGTTGCGTCCTCGATAGTCTGTGTGCGTATCTAGGTGGGTAGGATAAATCTTACGACGTATAGAAATGACTTCATAAACCTGAATTCACAGCATAATCTCCCAGATGGGATGCTACAGTTCCTGCCCATTCAATATCAGACGGCTTTGTGCGTACCCCCCTCCAATGATATAACCGTCCTCTTACCTAACGTGCTTATGAACGTACACACATACCTTCCCCCATGAAAATGTAAGAGACAAAGTTGCACAGTATATGCAGTTAAGCCCAAGATGATTGATTTTCAGACCTAGTTTTGATTTACAGGGAGTTTGTTCTGCATGGAAATGACACAAACAAACAAGAAAAGGCCGTAAATCATTGTTCTAGAGATGTTAAAAGGGAATTTTAACCATTTCTAGACATTTCTGTGTCCAAATTTGTTCATACTTCTTGGAATTCTTGCATTTTTCTAGGAGAAAATGCAACTTTTATAGCTTTCCAAATGGTCCTGGTGCTCGTAAGTTTGCATTTAGATCATGTGCATTTCATAAACTTGCTTAACTCGAATTACCACACAGTGAAACTGGTTGTTTTGAATCTTTGTTTTGCTTTTGGACGCCAACCAAATGAAATAAACAGAGTCAGATGGAATTTTCTTATCAAGTTTCAGATGCAGTGACACCAACAACCATTTGTAGTGGATATTTTATTTGAGCAATAGGTTTCTTCTGGTTAGACATGACGTAAACAAGTGACAAAAGACGGTAAAACACAGGTAAAATGATCAATTTTAACTATTTCTCTTCTCGTTTTAACAATTTTCCTAAAAATTTAACATCCAAAATTATTTTCGACTTTAAAATTTCTGCAAATGTCTCAAGAAATTGTCATTCCAAATGGTTCTGGCAATTTCTACTATGTTCTAGAACACTGTAATCCACTATAAACTGAGAACAGCTGATGCAGTAGTTGTCCAGTCAGTATAACTGAGAGACAGCTGCACATTGTGACTGCTCACAAGATGTTTAAAGACTATAAAGCCATAAAATTGTACAAACAAGAACAGAAATAGTTAAAATTCACCAATACTATCTGCAACACAGTGTCTCAGCATCTTCTGTTACTTGTTTACGACATTTCCAACCAGAATAAACCTACAAAAAACTCTGTAAATCAAAATCTGGACACTTTTTTGGGCTTAACTCGGTGTTGTATCAGGTCCTCCTCCCCCTCCACCACGGTATCCATGCACCTCTGTT